TTGTTTTTAATGCACTGATTTTAAGGACTACTTAAAACTATTTACCGAGGATTGGAATGATTGCCAAGTTCAAGAGTCTTCTTATGCCTTCTTTCCAGTATGATGAAATGGGTATTTAGGGGGGAAAAAAAAAAAAAGAGCAGCTGATATCTTTAGCATGTTCCCCATGTTCTTCCCTACAGAATAAAATAATTAGTTAATCTTCTGATGTTGCCTTAGTACACTACTTGGAAAACTGAAACTCAAAGAGCCATTTTCAGAGAACTGAACACCGTTTATCATTTAATTTGCTTTTTTTTTTTAAATGTACCTGCATAACACCTGACATTTGTATTTCTCAGTCTGTTTAACTGTCAAGGGTTGGTAGTTTGCTGAACCTTCCGTTTGCTAAATTTGTACATATTCTGACATACCTAAATTATTGAGATAGACTTTTTTTTTATTTAGTTGAGGGAAAAACCTTTGAGGCAATATCAGTTTCATATAGAAGGCTTTGCCAGAATACCCTTTGAAAGCCTGGATTTAGAAGACTCCGTGGGAAATAAAAAAAATGTTAATCCACACTCTGACCTTTTCAGCTGTTCATTGGACCACCTTAGTAAAAACAGCTATTGCCCCTACGGAGGATCAGGTGACACCATGTCTGGAAACTTTTTTGCATCAGCGTTTTGTTTCTGTTTAACTTGCCTCTCAATTGTGTAGCTATTTGAGTTCTGTGCTGATTCTAACAGAATATTGTGCCTTGGGACCTGTAACAGTATATAAGCATACAAAATGCATACGAACATTGTAAGTTACAGTAGCACTTGCCAGTTTTTTCAGCTTGTGCAGTTTTGTTTTGCAGTTGACAAGAGGCTCTGATTTTGTGCAACAGAAAAATATATGTAGCAGATCAGTTTCAGGGCTTTGAAACCCATGCTGTTGCCTTTACTTTTTAGCATATGCTAATCACAAGACAAAATATTTTTTATTGACGATGAAGACAAAGCTTTGTTCAGTTTTCTGTACACACAGCTTTGGCACTCCAAGGTAGCATCAGCATCTCTAAGGTTAACATCTTCAAAATACTAATGTTCAGATGAACTGCATTTCAGTAACTGTTAAACAGTCTTTAATCTTTCCTTCACTGGAAGGTGGAGCTACATGACTGTGTCTTTAAATGCCTGCATGTATATGTGCACATACATAGGGTATAAACTGCCAGCAGTTACATACTGTACAGTATTTATTCCTTAATTTGACATTTATCATCCAGTATGGGTGCTGGTAGAAAATACATCTGCAAATAGTACTCACTGTAAATCTGGATATTATCACTTAATTTATAAATCCTCCCACTGGGGGTTCGGTCATTAATAGTTCCAGTTTAACAAACCAGTTCAATTAAAACATTTTTTAAGAGGTTTTGGGAAAATTTGGATCATTTTCCTCTACTCTCTGTTTTTCACTTTTCATACCCTGGACTTCCTAATTCCAGCTGGGACAAAAAGTGCTGTGTTGCACTTTTCTATGCAGTATTTTTTGCCAAATTAAAAGCAGGAAGTACCAGAAAGTTCACAGAAGAGGATATTCTTGTGAGGTTTCTTGTCCAGCTTTACAGACCAAGAGATTCAGATAAGATTTGACTAAGCATTTACATTATTAAGTTTCTGTGGCATTGCCTGGAAAACTTATATTATGGACATTTTATGGTAAATGAGATTAATTCTTCTTGAATAGAACTCAGGGGGGTTTTTTTAGGTAATTAATGTGGCAAAATAATTCGGTTAGATAATTTAAACAAACAGCTCCTTTACCCAACAAAAATTTGCAGAATTCCTACAAGCTAGATTAAACGTGTTGAACTTTGTAGGCTGACCCCGTCCTTCCTTTGTGAGATGTAAGAAATTGCTCCAAAACATAGTATGAAACACAAATTGTTCAATAATTCAAACAGTATGAGCAAAAAGACTTTGTTATCGTATTTTACTAAGAGAGTAATAAGGATGTACAGATGGCAACAGGTTAGTAATAAATATATTATGAAATTAATAAATATAAAATCAAAGAAAAGCTGCCTCAGTACATAAAGTGATAATTTTATGTAAACTTGAGTAACAGATCTGAGCGCTATGTGTATAGCTGCCATGGATTCTGTATATGGGTTTGTAAAATGCTTAGCACACTGAAATAATTTGGAAGTAAATTGGGAATTTTGTTAAATTCTAAACCAAAATTAGCATAACACATTTGAGTTCTAATCTTCAAGGTATTAAAGTAATTAGTGCGTTTTTATTCATCTCATCACATGAGAAGCTTCCTACTGATAGCCTGAGACTATGGTAGATTCTTAACTGCTCTAAATTTAAGATACTTTTTTTTTTATTAAATGTAGCAGAGTTTAAATGTAGCCATGAAGAACATTCATCAAATATTTTCTCCATTACACTCTGTTTGGATTCACTGCTCTAAACAAGGACCCTCAGTCACCCTGATGTGCCGTCCCTTCCAGTACTATACAACCGTAGAATTTAAATGAAAGTTTTACTGAACAGGTTGAGCTGTTGGTCATGTTTTGTACCAGTGTTACGACAAACATGGCACGCATCATCGTTCTAGGCTTTTTCATTGGGTAGCCTGGATTCTTCAAAACATAGCCCAGACATCAGGGCTGGGAATTCAGTGTTGTTTGACATCCCATCCCTTTTCCAAAGGATAGATTCTTTTCTGAATTGATTATTACTGGCTAACATGAGAATAAATTCTGAGAGTCAACGATAGTTTTCATGGAATAACCCAAGAGAAGCAATTTCCATATACTGTTTGAGTTGGGGTTTACTAACAAATGCAATTGTGCATAATGCTCCGGTCTGGAGCCATGTTTTTGGAGATCCAAAGGTCATTTCTCATCTTTCATTCATCGTTAATCAGCCTGGGGGTTAGATGCGTCATCTATATGCAGTTGCCATTCCTGACTCTCCATAGAGGCAAAGTGTCCTGAAATGTTTAATGACTTGGTTTTTAATGGCATTGATCCCAAGCAGTTGTCCGGACATCCCAGAGAACAGACATCTTAGTGCACGGAAGGCAGGCTGACGATGCAGAAATGAGATTATTTAATATTATACAGGCTGGGGTCAAATATACTTTCAGCTCATGATCCCTTGTACGTAACTGTAGATATTGCATTCAAAATTTCATTAGACAGATGGTAGAGAGATTGGCAGTACCGGGAGATCGGGTCCCCTTCCTCAGCTTGCACGGTGCCTGTCGGTTTCAGCCGGCAGAGCTCAGTTGAGCACGACAGGAGGTCGGATGTGTATCCAACAAGGCGGTATTTCTGTTGCTGTTCTCCTGAAATGTCACGGGGGAAGTCAGCAGAGTTATTTGTATTTCTGCTACCAAAGCCAGAAAGCTCTTACTCTGTAACCCTGCCCGGACTACGCGTCCCATGAGGCCTTGCGCTGGAGGAGGAGACCGCGCATGCGCGGCGGGCACGGCCCCGCCCCTCGGAGCGGAGGTTTCGCTTCCGGGCCGAGGTCGAGC